AAAAAAAATCTTCATGACCTTGAGGTAGGTAATAATTTCTTAAAGTACATGAAAATCACTAACTATAAGAGAAGACTATTGATAAATTGGCCTTCATAAGAATTAATAACTGCTGCTCATCAAGAGTTATCATTAAGAGAATGAAAAGGCAAGCCATGCACTATGAGAAATCTTTGCAATACTTTTACTCAGCAAATATCTCCTATTTATTTATTTATTTATTTAATTTTTTGGTGCTGAGGATCGAACTCGGGTCCTTGCGCTTGCGAGGCAGATGGTGGAACCACTGAGCTAAATCCCTGGCCCAGTATCTCCTATTTATAAAGAACAACTTCTACAAATTACCAAGAAGACAAACAACACAATTAAAAACATATACACATAGGCAAAAGACATGAATAGGTACTTTACAATGTCCAACACACATGGTGAAATTCTGCACTCGTTAGTTATCAGGGAAATACAAACTAGCATGCACCATAGTGCTATACACTGTGTGCCCACGGAATGGCTAACAGTGGAAAGAATGGTTGCACCAAATATGGGCAAGGAGTAATGCAGCTGAAACTTTTATAAAGTGTGGAGGGAGTCTAAATCGGTAAGGCTACTTTAGAAAACCGTCAGAGTCTACTAAAGCTAAGTACACATATATTCCATGATCTAGCAGTTTGATTCCTGGGAAAATACCAGCAGAAATGCATACTCATGACCACCAAAAGAAGTACAGGGATGTTCAGAGCATCAGTCCTTCTCAAACACTTCAGCAAATGGAAGAGACGGGCACACTTCCAAACTCATCCTACAAAGCCAGCCTTCCATGGCACCAAATCCAGACAAAGACCACAAGGAAAGACAACCACAGACCAGAGTCTCTTGTGACTACTGATGCAGATGTCCTCACCAAGCCCTGCTAGAGGAATCGGCAGCGCGTGAAAGGGGTTGTACATTGTGTGCAGCAGAACAAATTCCTTGACAACAAAGATGGTCCAACGTATGAAAATCAATCAGTGCCACATTAACAAAATGAAGGATCATGATCACATGATCAATGACCACATGATCACGTCAACTGGCACAGGAAAAACACAAAGACATTCAAATCCTTTTTGTGGTTTTAAAAAAAACACTCAACAAACTAGAGATAGAAGGGCACTACTTCAAGCTCAACATAATAATTTTTTTTTTTTGGTCCTAGGGATCAAACTCAGGACCTTGTGCCCGAGCTCAGCACAATAAGACTGCATGGAAAACCCACCTCTAACATCATACTCAATGGTAGAAGACTGAACTCTTTTCCATCTAAGATTCAGAACCACACAAGCTTGCCTGCTTTATTGCTTCTTCCTAACATAGTACATAGTACTAGCTAGAGCAATTAGGAAAGAAAAAGAAATGAAAGGATTCTAAGTTGGTAAGAAAAAAGTAAATCATCTCTGTTCACAGATGACATGGATTCTCTAGGTAGAAAATTCCAAAGGTTCCACACATGCCCACCCGTGCACACACACAGACTCACACAGAGACATACACACATACCATGTTAGAACTAAGAGATGAATTCAGGAAAGTTGCAGGATATGAAATCAACACTCAGAAATCACCTGCACTTCTGTGAACTAACAATGAACAATCTGTACAGGAAATTAAGAAAACCATTGCATCATAAAGAATAAAATACTTTGGAATGAATTTAACCCAGACATGTATGCAGAAAAATTATAAAACATTGGAGACAATTAAAGACACCAACAAATGCAAACACATCCTCTGTTCATGGAATGACCAACTTAATATTAAGATGTCAAAACAATGTGATCTACAGATTCAGCAAAACCCAATCAAAATCTCAAAGGTGCCAGGAACTGTGACCTATAAGCCTGCAATCCCAGCAACTTGGGAGGCTGAGACAGGAAGATCACAAATTTGAGGCCATCCTGAGCAACTTAGTGAGACCCTATCTCAAAAAAAATTTAGTAGAATAAAATAAAATAAAATAGACTGGTGGTGTAGCCTCATGAAAGAGCACTTGTTTAGTTAGCATCAGTGAGGCCCTGGGTTCCATTCCCACTACTGCAAAAAGCAAACAAAATCCCAGAGGCATTTTTGAGAAATAGAAAAGCTCATTTTAAAATTCATATGGAATCTCAAGGGAACTTGAGTAGCCAAAACAATCTTGAACAAAAATACCAACACTGGCGATATGACATTTTCTGATTTCAAAACTTACCTCAAAGCTACAGGTGGTTTGGGCATAAAGACAGACATATTGGCTGAAGGAATAGAATAGAAAACACAGAGGAAACCCCCATGTGTATGGTCAAGTGATTTTTTTTATAGTGCTGAGATTGAACCCAGGGCCTGGTGTATGCTGGGCAGGTGCTCCAGCCCTGAGTTACATCTCCAGACATTTTTGACTTTTTGTTTTGAGGCAGGGTTGTGCCAAGTTGCCCAGGATGGCCTGAAACTCATAATCGTCCTGCCTCAGCTTCCTAAGTAGTTGGAATTATATGTGTGTGCCACCACGTGCAGTGGTCAAATGATTTTTGACAAGGCACCAGGACCATTCAGCAGAGAAAGGACAATCTTTTCAATAAATGGAGCTGGGAAAACTGGATATCTACATGTAGAAAAGGAAAGGTGGACCCTTCCCTAACCCTGTAAACAAATATTAACTCCAAGTGGATCACAGACCTAAATGTGAGACATAACATATAAAATCCTTAGAAGAGAACATAGGGCAAAAGTTATACGAAAACGGACTTGACAATTATTTCTTGGATATAGCACCAAAGGAACCAGCAAAAAAACAAAAAAAACAGGGTGCTTTCTGAACATAAAGTACATAGATCTCATGTGAATAGTTTTGTGTGCAACTACTACCTCCAAATAAAAATCTTTCATGCATTAAAGAATACAGTCAACAGAGTAAAAAGGCAATCTATACAATGAGTGAAAATATTTGTAAATCACGTATCTGAGAGGGGGCTAATATTCAGAATGCTTTTTGGTGGTGCTGAGGATAGAAGCCAGGATCCTGCACATGCTAGGCAAGTACTCCACCACTGAGCCACATCCCTGGCCCTAATATGCAGAATGTATAAAGAAATCCTACAACCTAGCAACACAAAAACAACCTGGTAAAAATGGGGCAAAGGACATTTCTCCAAAGAAGATACAGAAATGGTGATGACACATGACCACCGTCATGCCAGCACATGACAAGATGCTGAATATATGAATCATTTGGGAGATACAAATCAAAGCCACAATGAACACGCAAGCTTAAGTATTGTGTGGTTTCTCTTCCATGAGAAACCCAAAGAATAAGTAAAGAGCAAGGTAAAAGACAGATGATAGGAAACAAGGGGACGGATCTTTTGCAAATGACAAGGGGACCAAGAGACAGAGGGATTAAGGAAGAGGAAGGGGGCATAAAAAATGAAGATGTGTTGTGTGTGTGCACCAAATACCCACGATGGATGAGGTTCTGGACTACAAATATGTACTAATAAAAATAAAAGTTTTAAAAAGCCACAATGAGCTGCCATTCCACACTTATGAGGGTGCTTTTTACAGAATCACAAGTGGCGGCCAGGGTGTGGAGAAATTGGAACTCCTGTGCATTTCCGGAGGGGATAAAACTGTGCGGCCCCATGGCAACTAGGTCTGTGATTTCTCAACAACAAAACATGAAATCCCCCTAGGTTCTAGCGACTGCAGTTCTGGGTGTATGCCCAAATCTGTGTCCGCCAGACCGTGCTTCACAGTGACCAAAACCTGGAAGGAACTCAGATGTCCATCAATAGAAGAGTAGATGGAGAAAGTGTGGTCTATCCAAGTCACAAACACAGTCGACCTTAAAAAGGAAGGGGCCGGGGATGTAGCTCAGTGATTCCGCCGCCTGCCTCGCAATCGCAAGGTCCCGAGTTCGATCCCCGGTACCAAAAAAAAAAAAAAAAAAA